AGACTTCAGGGTATCTGAACTGAGTAAGAGACTGAAGAAGAGCTGAAATGACCATGGCCCTGGGTATGGACAACAGTTTCGCTCCACATCATGAAATCTGCTAGTGTGTTTGTCGACCGGACTTCTCTCCAGACTCATGCTGTAATTTGCATTGTCGGATTGTCTCTGTCACACAGTCTTAAGCATCTCTCCTTCATGGCGGCACTGACATGGTGGGCCTGTGCTGGGCCCGAGTTCAATCACTTCTCAAGATTGCTCTTTGAAGACACTCATTCTCTACCAAACGCCAAATGTGTCATACCAGCAATCTGAGGACGAGACAATTGCTTCATGTGCTTTTCCCTGGGTCTGACAGGTCTCTGGATGCACCCACAGCAACAACAATCCCAATAATGTGACTTGGAGCGCGGCCATCCAAGAACCAAAGCCACCCTTACGGTCGCATGTTCTCATGAAAGCTCAGCTTGCAAATCTTAACTCTTCAAGCACGTGAAAGCTATGATGCCTTTGAAGATTCTGTGATAGCTTGAATCCTCCGCGCAGACCTCCAAAAGTTTCGATTGATGCATCTTTTTCCCCGGCAGCCAGGCGTTCGTAATCCCTCTCCATCTCATGCCAGCGCCAGGATGAAGAGAGACAAGCGATGTGCGGTGAGCGGGATCATCTCTCCAGCTTCACCTTGCATGGCCACGTAGGCAGGTCGGTCCCTCATCCCTTTGCCCTCATTCTTCGTGCACATGAACTTCGCCATGGGCAAGGCATGCTTCGACTGTGGCTTGTGCTGCAAGGTCAAGTAGGCGGTGGTCTTCTTCCGGGTCAGCCAATACCAAATGGTTTTCGGTGTGTAAGGTCCCGGATGCTTGCCCTGGAGCACCTCAAGAGCGACTAAAAGTCCAGTGTCTGGACGGAGCGTGGAGGTGCCATTGTGTTTCCCTCAGTCCCCAGAGTTTCTGATGTTAAGGCCAGGAGGATCCATCCCTGCGGGCCCGAAGCGGGCCCCGCTTCACATCCAATTCGGCCAGTCAACCTTACCTCCCGAACCCCCTAAGAAAGACACCTTGCATAGCTACGGACCTGGGGAACCAAGTACATACAAATATCAAATCACCATCACCCGGCCCCCCAACAAAAAGGAAACGAAACTCCCAGTTCGCCTCACTGCTCAGAAGTGACGCGATGGTATCATCCAAGTTCAGCGCCGAGGGATTGGCCGCAAAGGTGGAGACCACCGCCTCCGCATGGGCGCAGCTCGCGTCGCGTTGCTCGCGGCGTCGCTCCCGTCGCGTCGTGCGAAATGCGTGGCCTCTGGAGACACCAAAAGGCTGGAAATGGCTGGCACGGTGCAGTGTGATAGCACGGGAAGTGATGATTTGAAGTGGAAAAACGTGGAAAAATGTTGTAGAACTCATGATGAAAGTGTTGTACAACAAGTTGAACCGTGCTTTTTCAACCCCAAGACAAATAGAACGAAACCTGTCTCAAACAGTCTATTCTATCTATTCGATTCTATTTGGTGACCACACCTGACCATCTTGAGGGAAATATGTTTCTCATCTTTCACCCACACATGTCAGGCTGCATCTAAAGAAAAACAGCTCCAGAGCTCTGCAACCCTCGCTTTCGACCCCCAAAGTCCAAGTCACCATCGATGTGCTCCCCGAGGCCAACGCCGCCACGCGGAACATGATCGTGGCGATGCCGCCAATCTGCGATGTCGGAAGAGAGGAAGGGTGGATTTGGACCTTTGACAATGTTCAGGCCATCTAGAACCGGGGACCATCCAAAAGATGCGGCAAATAGTTTAAATAGTACAGACAAGAAGAAAATGGAAGAAGAATCATGGTCAAGACATGAAACGTGCCATAGTATGCTATAGCTGTTGTACCTGATGCGCGCATTCCAAAGAATTCGATGCCTTTACAGAAACAGCGCGCAAAGAATTTGATTCCTAGGTTTCAGATCGAAACCTCGCCTGCACAAGGCCACCCATGAAGGCTTTCAGGTAGAGCTCTTGTGCCTTGGGCATCACCTTGACGGGCTAAGGCTTGCCGTTGAGGCAAACTGAGAAGATCTATAAGATCAGATCACTGAATCTTTCTGGGCTCAGCCTGGTCAAAAAGCAAATCCTTTTGGGCATCTGTAAACAGAGCACATCATGTTTATAACCCGAATCCAAACCGACCAACCGAATTCCTCTTCCTCCAGTCGAGTCCCACCGTTCGGCCTCCGAGACTACCAAGGTGACGGTGTGGCCGATGAAGTCGCTGTGGCATTCCACTGGCAGGTCGGACCTCTTTTGAAGGAGCTTCACCATGTGCGTCAGGTCACCGGTCAGGATGAAATCACTACTGGCTGACAAGGGGATGGCCTCAGAAGAAAATGCTGCAAGCAGCTTGGTGCCAACAGAGCCGTGCTCAAGCAGAAAAGATCTGGCTGAAAGCAGAAAGCTTCCATGTCGACATCTCTGAACTTCAGCAGTTGCTGGTAATGGTCTTGGCTGTTGATGATTTAGTCCCTCCCTTTGTTTGACCATCCTGGTTTCCACGGGTTTCCAAATCTCTAAGGGGAAGTACTATATAATCAACCATACACAAAAGAACCGAACACTGGATCCTTGGCCAGGTCACCTTCCAGCGGCTCAGGAAATTGTTGGTGACCGCCCAAACCGGTGTATCCAGGCTCCACTGCTGGAATGCGTCCACACCTTGCGTCGTTTCATTGGCCTCCAGAACCTCCTGAGAGACGGCCTCCTGTGTCTGAAGCAGGTTCTGGCGCACCGCAGCTGCCAAGGGCACCAGGATCACACATCGAAACATGATGAAAACGACAAGTTGACAAGCAACAACGAGCGAAACAAAGGCCACGCGGCGAAACAACGTCTCAGAGGCTTTGAGCTGAAATGTCTCGTGGGTCAACGGGTCATGGGTTGAAAGACTTCAAATGCAACGACGAGAGTCGACTTCAATCGATCTTATGCACTCTGAGATCCCCCACGTGGAAACCGGAGTGGAAGTGGCCCTGCACAAAAAATAAACAAAGTCAATCAACGCAACTCGTCGTCGGTCCAGTTTCACCGGTCTCCAGGTCGAATATCCTTTCCCTTCAGGTCGAGTCGAATCCTTCGGTTACCACCACTGTTGTTCAGTATGTTCTGGTTGCTTCGCAAAGGAACATGATACAACATGCTTCAGTGGCAGATTCGTAGACCGGGCCTGTTTCTCGGATCCAAATCCAGAACCGACCGAGACTGTAAAGAAGCAGTTCCTCTTCAGAATAAGATAAGTAAAATGAAGATTATCTGAATCTCAGGTTACAACAATGTAACAAAGCACCAAAACTCGACTCCATCCTTTTCCAGGTCTGAAAACAAAAACAAAACAGACAGCTCAGGACCCCGGCAGAAAAGTGACTCCCAGAAGCGACTCCACCCTGGTTGAAATGATGGGCGGTGGTCGAACCACACTGGTCGAAGCATGTCGAAGCGAGGCATCTCTCCTTTTCTGGCATGAGTATGTCGAGGAATCTGGACGAACATGTGCCATGCGCTACTTGCCCATCTGTGCACGGAGAGTTCCAACGGAGACATGACAAATGCATCCAAAAGCCATCTCCTTCTGATAAAATCAGTGAACTTAGGGATGGAGGATTCAAGATCTTCAAGGGTAGAAGGTTCCCACAAACACCTCCTCCGCTCACCCGGCCCCCACAAACATGCCAGGCATCTCCTCCGCAGCGCCTCCAATACCTGTTCAGCTGATGAGATGTAGCAAATCAAGCCCAAGCATGTCTCAGCCCCCATGCAAGTCATGCGAGTACACGTGATGCATGTTTCTGCACAAAATGGCCGCCGCAGATTGCCGGCGCATCGACTGATTGGACGAAAACCACCGATTCTTCGTTCTTTCAACCCCGTCTTCGACCGTCTTCGACATCGACGATACCGGTGTGACTCTGCCAAGACACCGCATTGAGCCTGGCACGAGGACGTGAAGCGTCTTTGGTGCTGGGTCCAATGCGAGAAACGGGTTGGACGGAAGGACGAAAGACGGACGTTCCACGGTGCATGAGCTGTTCCCTACTTGAATCACGAAGCTGTTCCCTGTGCATTGGGTTCATATGTGTGTTCATATTCAAAGGCTTCTACAGTAACCTTTCTTAATCTGTTTTGATTCGATTGCTTAGCGCTTCTGCACATCTTTGGAAGCAGAAACACCAGCAAAAGCTGTGCCATGTCTCGACGGATCGTTGCATCCTTTCAGCCCAACCTGGCACTCATCCGCAGGGAAAGGACCATGGCTGGCAGGACGGCAAGCACCACCAGAACTGCGGCGACATCAACGGGGACATCAAATCAGTTGGTCTTGTTCAGGTGTTGAAGACTAACTTCTTTCGTTGGCTACAAGACTCTACAACATCTGTTTTCTTGGAGTGATGTCAAGCCGTTTTGCACCGATACGAAGGTCTGTGCACCATCCGATTCTCCGAAGGATCATCGCGACGAGATCCGGATCCAGCGAAGAGTTTTTGGATCGAACGTGTAAATCTCCGCAGCCCTGCCGCTCGACCCATGCCTCTGGTAAGCCTTCTCTGATGTCTGGCTACGCAGCTTGTACAGGCCTACCAGGATCGGCCGCGGCTCGAAAACAACCATCGAGTTGGCTGGTGAATTGCATGTTTGAATCCTGCTGTTGCAGGCTCTACACAATGCCGCGTTCTTCGTTTGCACAATGTCGACTGATTAATAAAGCCTCTTACTGCGTAATATAGCATATAGCATATTTTGTCATTGATCAAGAGTCTACATTGCTACATAACTTGCTTTCGAGGCACAGTGGTAGCCACCCTCGTGGCTGGGGTCGTTCCACTCGGCTGGACCTCAAGGACCGCCCACGGCGGCGTGGGTCGAGCCGCGACGGCGCCGCGACGGCGCCGCGCTTGCTTTTCGAGTGGCAGTTATTCTTTCCAGCTGGACAGGGTGGAGTGTGCGCCTTGGACACCGGAGAGGAGAGGAGAGGAGGGTGGAGTGTGCACTTGGCTTTGAGGTTCGGCATCTTTGTGCGAAGAAAAGGTCGTGTCCTGTACACGAATTGCTCAAAGGTTGTGCCTAAAAGCACCTGACCATCTGAGGCGTTCATGAACTTGCTTCCTTACCCTGAACATGCTGAAACCAATCTCTCGAAGTCTTGTGCTTGATTATCACGCTTTCCATCTAGATTCAACATGTTTGCAGCCCAACGTTTCCGAATCTTCTTGCATAAGACATCGTAAGACAAAGAGGTCTAAGTTCAGACAGAATAAGAAAAAATTAGCCAGGCTTGTCATTTCGAGGTCTTGGCTTTGAACTTCTCCTGGAATCGGTTCTGGGCGATGAACATGGGATGATTCGAGAATCATTCTGCATTTGCGCGTTTCATCGGTTCAAAGACTCATCAAACCCGTCTGATGCGATTCATCGGTCGACTTCTTCAGACTTCGGAGGGTTCATCGCCTCGAGACCAGAGAGCTTCACGGCCGGGGTCGTGGGCCTCGTTCGAGGCCCCAACTGAGCCACGTGACGTCTGGTTTTCCACACCGGAGACATGAGATGCACTTACTCGAGGCTGGATGGATCCAAACGGTGTGGAAAACACCACTTGTCCCAAACTCAAAAGGAATCCTTGAATATCCTTGAGGCCTTTGGGCCGAAGAAACCCGAACATGAGACTTCTTTGGGGGCCTAAGCCGACCCATCGGCACCCAAAAAGGACGTCCAACACGAGTGGGCGTTTTTCATGTTCCCACTAAAAGGGTCTTTACAGCAAACTCACACCCGTCCCACACTTAAAAGGTCTTTCAGTGTTATCATCGAAAAGAAGAACTCCTTCGCAAGTCTCAGGTCTTTCGGATTCTCCCGGTGTGTCTTGAACACACCCACAAAACTGCGAAACACACTCTGGAAAACACCGGCCTGAAGAACAAAGCGGCCAATGCACCAATGACCAGTAGCCTATGAGTGCTGGAACGCGAAAAAACATCTGGGCGAGACCAGTCGTCTGGGCATCTCTCTCTCTCTCTAATCATTTCGGAAGAACAGAAGATCAGGCGACAAGTGTTCCGATCTGCGATACAAAAACAGCTTTCAGTGCTCAGTGCGAAAGATCAGGCGTCGCAGCCCCTCACTGGATCGGTGAATCCCGATACGGAACGCAAAAAAAGAACGAGCTTTGTAGCACAATGGTGAGATGATATGAAGTAAAACCGGTCGTTCCAATGTATTTGTCTTGTTTCTGTTTGCATAGCTGCATCACTTCGTAATTCCCGAGCTCTTCCGAGACGAAGCAGCAAGGCCCAGCTATTTGAGATCCAAGAGACGCTGAGACGCTGCGTATCGGCCAGGTTCTGCCTGGATGAGACACGGCGGGTGTCGTTTCATCCGTCTCGGTTCTGTTCAGCAGCCGAACGGCAGCCGAAAAAATTGAAGCACCGGTCTCAAAATCACCAAAGCCAAAGCCTCAGCTATTTCCCGATCCCACAAGTCAACCCAAAGAGCAGCTGCTGGTCGAAAAAGTCTTGCAGTCTTGCAAAAAATAGATCAAGCATAATCAAGCAGAGCTCATGCTCCTTGCGACATGGGACCGCGGTATCACCGACATCGCCGGCACATTCGCCGAAAAAAGAAATAAAAAACAATCCCCAGCATGCCTTGGTCTCTGGTGGACACTTGCGCCTCCTGGAAGCGAAGGCTTTGGCCCAAACGAGATGGTCTCCCATACGTCGACATCTCATGAGATTAATATTGGAGCAAATAAGTTCGAAGGCGGAAGAAAACAAAACAACATCTGATAATTTCTCTGTAGGAGCTACTCTGAGTATTTCATCCACTGAAAAATTACTGAGGAAACATGGGACATGAAAACCAGTTTGCTCCTCATCCGCCAGGTCCAGAGCCTCGTAGCTCATGGGCACCGACCTGACCAGGCAACCGTCCGTGCGCGGGGGCGTCCACGGGGCGACGTTTTGGGGCGTCCAAGACCACCACGCACCAAGTCTCTGATATCAACGACCAAGACCAGTCGTTAAGTCGTGTTGTTGTCTTCGTTCATGACAAGAGATGTCTGGGTGACTACGGAGGACTACGCTGCTACGGAAAACATGCAATTCTGTGCTGGCGCAGGCCTTCATGCATGTACAAACCTGCTAGAACTGCCTTCGTGGGCCAACACAGAGTTCCGCTTTCCTATAGTATATTTATCATATACCAAAAAGAAACGATGCTCCAATGGCCCAAATATGTTGATCAAACATCCAGATTGAAAGCCTACTAGGAACGGATCTAGGAACGTACTAGGAACGTGAATCTTCAGCCTCAAAGACTCAATGAGTCCGGACAAAAAGCAGAACTGTCCAGCGCTTCGTCCGCTTTTGTGGGGAAACATGTGAGGAAACAAACCTCGTTGACCTCTACCACTTCCGAGCAGTTCCGAAATTGACAAATAAGAAGTACCGAAAAGAGGGAACAAGAAAGGTCTAACACCATCCAGAAAGAACAAAACTATTTCATGCACTACTGAGCAGGTGGCAAGGACCTTGTCATTCTCCGATTCTCCACAGTCTTTGCTATAGAAAATGGCTTGAGCCAAGGAAGCAAATGGACCACCAGGTTCTTCCATGTGTCATCATGATTATTTCATGTCATTTCTACTTCTCCGCTTCTCTACCTTGTTTTCAGCGAGTTCAAAAGACTGCTTGCGATTCTGTGCCAATGGAGCTTGCTTCCAATCTTCAATTGCCTGGCATGTCCTCCTGGTAGGCCATCGTACTCAAGTGAGTCTCTGAGCCACTTTCGGATGACCTCCCAAGGATGTATACTTAGTGTTCCAGGACCTTGGACCCCCCCTTGTTGACTCTCAATCGGATGTCTCTGTCTCTCCCTCCGAGGGTGTTGGTTCATTGACCCCCTTTTCGGAGTGAGCAGTGCTATGAGCACATCCTGGAACAGTGACTTTGTTCATTAGAAGACAGAACATGACAAAGAAAAAGAAAAAAGAACAACCCGAACCACATCGAACCACCCTTCCGTTGCTTTGTTTGCTGCCCCAGGGAGCTGCTCAGGAACAGTAATGTTCAAAATCAAGAATGGGCCACAAGGCCAAACCGCAAAGCCGCGGACCACACTCCTGTGTTTGCAAAGCCGTGGACTCCAGCATTGCAGAGACCAGCGGGTCGTACACGGCAAACTCAGGGGTGCAGCACTCAGAAGCTTGATTCCTGGCCTACAGCTTTTTCCCTTTCGACTTCTTCACCTTCTTCGAAAGCTTTGTCTCAGAAAGCTTCTTCTTCATCTTCCAGACACTCCCTTCAGTTTGGGGTTGAACCAACAGCCGCGAGTGGCCACCAATGCCTTGGCACCAAGCCGACGGAGAAAACGGAAGGGCCTCTCGATTCGCTTCCGGACCCCCCTCTCTCTCCGAGTCCAAGCAGCCACCGATATCCGATCGACCAGGAGTAAGGTATACCCACCGATTCCGCTACGTTCATAGCTTCTTGTTCCGTTCGTAGTAAGGCCTGGAGGCCCCGATCGTAGCGTCCGATCGCTCCGTTCGTAGCGATGGCCTCCAACCTACTTGCGATGGCCACCGAGCATAGCGGTCCTTGCAGCTATTTCGTCTTTCACGGATTCACGACCGAAAAGAACATCCCCTCTACGAATCCGCGAACGGTCACTCCGGTCGGGCCATCTATGACATCTATGAGTCACGAATTGAGCCCGAAAAACTCCGGACCTTTCCCGTCGGGTGAGAGGTCTCATCTGGGAGGTCCACAAACGGAAAATGCGACCTGGAGCTCCACAAGCGCGCCTCATTTTTCCACTTCTGTCCCCAGATGAAAAAACAAAAAAGAAGAACAAAACCCGTCCCTTCAGCGTCTTGGCCAAGGTGCGGCATTGAACCTTGGACGTGCGTCAAACCACAGGCCACAGGATCAGATCTCGATTTATCGCGGGACTCTTCATCAGCAAGGTATCTTCATCGTTGCTTAAATGTGTTTAAATCAACGTTGAAAGATGTTGAAAGCTTCATCAGCTCATCTTCCTCTTCTTGCCGCTGTCTCCGAGAAAGGCTTCTTTGGCTAAGTTCTCAACTTGGCAATCGCTCTGGGGGAAAGGTCCATGACCAGCAGGGCGGCAAGCACCACCAGACCTAAATCCGATATAGGCTCGGGCCGTGTGGACACTCCTCCGTTTGGCAGCATTCGTTGCACCATTCGACTACCCTTATGGTGCATGGTGCTTGCTTTTGCATTTGCGTTTCATCGGTTTGAAACCTGAGAAAGCCCGACTTCTGGTAGGCAGTCTCAGAGGTCTGCCTTGCCAACTTGTGCAGACCTGGCGCAGAATCCGAGTCCGGGACAGTCTCCGGGACGGTCGAATCAAGTCGAATCCAAGAGGCAGTGGTAGCCACCCGCGTTGCCCGGTGTCTTCCAGTCAGCTGGGCCTGAAAGTAAGAAGTTGTCAGCTGGACTCCTTGACATGGCTGGAGCTGATCCAAAGCGCATCTTCACTGGTCCCTTCCCTCTTGGAAGCAGAAAAGAACGTTCCTTTCCACTTGATCTAGTCAAATCTAGTCTTTATCTGAGCGACATTGGTGCACAGTTCCACTGCCGCATGAGGTGATTCCATTCTCCTGCAGAACAAAGCATTGAAGCTGGCAATTGTCGTCACCCAGCGGCAAGGTGTTTGAAGATCCGAGAACACACCACCAGAGGCATGCCAAAGAAACAAGCATTGTTTGTGCTGTGAAAGACTCTGGGAGTCAGGCATCCGACACACCACCTGAGATGCCACTCCCACCGCCGCTGCTGTAGCTGCCACCGCCGCTGCTGTAGCTGCCACCGCCGCTGCTGTAGCTGCCGCCACCGCTGCTGTAGCCACCGCCGCTGCTGTAGCCACCGCCGCTGCTGTAGCTGCCACCACCGCTGCTGTAGCTGCCGCCTCCGCTGCTGTAGCTGCCGCCACCGCTGCCGTAGCTGCCATAGCTGTGGCTACCGTAGCCATGGCTGCCATAGTGGCCATAGCTACGGTGGCTGTAGCCATAGCCTGGGCTGCTGTAGCTATGTGTTGTGTAATGGTGGCCACCATACCCTCCGTAACGGCCGCCGCCGTAGCTGCTGAACTCGTGGCCAGAGCTGCCCTCAGTGGGAAAGTGCATGTCAAAGCAATTCTAGGGAGAAGGTTGCCTCTTCTATATATAGAATCTTGTAAACCTATTCTATCCATTTGCATCCATTTCAGCTTAAGGATGCTTAAGGGAAGAATCTATACAACATCAGCTCAAGGGCAAATGATTCCAAAAAGCGTAGGTACCGTAGGGAGCATTCGTCCATCAAGAAGTTGCCTGTAGGCCATGTTGGCTCGTGTCCCTTCTAAGCCTCTGGCGGCATGTTTTACATGGACCTTGCATGCATCGGGCCGCAAAAAACAAACAAACACGATACAGCCACGATGTTGGACCTCCAGTTTGCCATGCGCGTTCTATCAGACCGTCAGACCGTCAGACCCTTTGAATTTCAACAGAATGTTCAAAACAGATTGGAAAAAAGCACCGACTGGTTCTCTTTGGTTCAGAAAGTAACTTGACTTTGAGGAACGGTGTCTAATGAGATTCGTCTTCCGTTGCTTCTCCAATCTTCTTCGTCTTCAAACGGCGAGTGGTTCATCACGACCAAATCGCTTTTGCCAGCTCTGAGGGTTTCACGATGTGATGCACCTGAAGTGGTTCATGTCAGTTTTCTGTCCCTGTGATTCAAGTCAGGTGTTGCTTCGATGTCACACAGAAACAGCATCTTGCATCTTGGATGTTTGGTCCGGGCGTTGGGATTTCCTCCGCTGAAGAGGGTCAATCTTGCTCGGAACAGACCGTCTGCAACATTCTCGAAACCGCTATGTGTCCCTGTTTCTGGGGAAAACAATCTCAATGAACCATCACGATCACAAAGAACTCGATTGTAATGCCTAATTAATGACGCGATCGGTAGTACCCGTCTCTGATCTTCCGACCACAGTGTGCGATGTCGGTGCCCAAGAGCTCGAATCTCCCCCAACAATGGCCTAGCGCCGCGGAAGCTTCGTTTCTGCGAGAAATCGAAGAACGGCATGTCAATCCACACAATGTGATGTCGCCCAACCAACCACGACCACAAGCTGTTTGTCGCATTCAATTTCAGCTACAAAAGAAGGGTTCACATGCATTGTACTTGTGATTCTCAACTCCACACCAAGCCTCATGCATCTTTTGATCCTTTCTTCCCAACTAGGCCCGCTGCACTGCTGGAGCTTGATGGTGCCCAAGAGCTCTCGTCTCCTCCGACAATGACCTCGCACAAGCTCCGGAAGAACATCCACTCATACAATGTGATTATGCTCAATATTGCTCAATGCAAACTCTCGAACATCGCAACGGCTTTCTAGAACTCTTGAAATATACGCAACCGAGGCCAACTTTAGTAAGACTAGGGGCCTTGCATGATGTTGCTAGGTCCCAAGCATGATGGGAGCTTGAGGGAGCCCAAGAGCTTGAATCTCCGCCAACAATGGCCTAGTTGAAAGAACTGATCTTGTCAGGACACCATGGAGAATGTGCCTCAAAGGACAACTGGACTATATATAGAATTGCTATGGAAGCATGAAGGTGTGATAGAGGAAATCCATTATGTTCAGTCGGGGAGGCACATATTTTAAAGAGAGAACACGATTGAAAATGATAGGCCAAAAATACTATGTGAAGGGTGTTTGTTATCTCTCTTATGAAACTCCCTTGATAAACATCTAAAATGTGAAGGAAATTTCATTGGTCCCATTTTTGCTGTTGATAAATTGCAATCACATCTCCTTCTAAATCGTTCTAAATCTATTTGTAGTTGTTTTTTACCTTATAGTTATTTTGGTATCTCTCTGTATTGTTGTGCTAGGTAAACCAACCATAAATTAAAGACATTAAAGATAGAAAAGTGGAAGGTACAGTAGGACCGCACTACAAAATGTCATTTGCAAGCTGTGCCATGTTTACTTGAGCGGCTGATTTTGTTTGTGACATTTTTGCTTACAGTAACCACGCTTTCTCTCAAAGGACCCTATCCCTATCTGTTGTCAATATCTCCAGCAGGTCTAGTGACTAGCAATCGTCTTTTGCTCTTGCATTGGTGTCTGCTAGGCAACCACTTTGTAGTCAAGGTCAGCAAGTCCCTTATAGATTCAGTTGGTTCTACTTCTCTACCTCGTGTCATTATGTGTCAATCTCACTTGCTATCTGGTTCATGCCTGTGTACCGTGGCTAAAGTATCTCCCTTCCACAGGCCTACCTCGTTTCTAAAGTAATCTTTGATGTTGCACAAGAGCTTTCGTTTGCATTTCCTTTAAAGACCAAGACTGTGTTGGGCCCGCTGCACTGGAGCTTGATGGTGCCCAAGAGCTCTCGTCTCCTCCGACAATGACCTCGCACAAGCTCCGGAAGAACATCCACTCATGTAATGTGATTATGCTCAATATTGCTCAATGCAAACTCTCCAGCATCGCAATGGCTTTCTAGAACTCTTGAAATATACGCAACCGAGGCCAACTTTGGCAAGACTAGAGGCTTTGCATGATTTCGCTAGGTCCCAAGCATGATGGGAGCTTGAGGGTGCCCAAGAGCTTGAGTCTCCGCCAACAATGGCCTAGCTGAAAGAACTGATCTTGTCAGGTGCACAATAGAGAATGTGCCAAGAATTGCTATTTAAAAAATTATCCCGGCAAGAGACCCCAAACAGTGTGTGTGAGGTCTATAAGTTAATAAGCAGGAAGTCTAGAGATCTAGATGCATTGGGGTCCAGAGAGGTGATGGTGGTGATGAAGTGAAGGTGGGTATGAGTGAGCGTGGGTGAGAGGGAGTGTGAGGGTGAGTCGAGTGTGAGTGAGAGCGAGTGAGAGTCTGCGAGTGGGAGAGTGAGTGGGTGAGGAGTGTGAGTGTGAGTGGGAGTGGGAGAGTGAGTGAGTGAGTGTGTGAAGGAGTGCGAGTGCGAGTGAGAATGAGTGTGAGTGGGAGTGAGTGTGGATGAGAATGAGTGCGCGACTGCGAGTGAGAGTGGTAGAGTGTGTGTGAGTGCGAGTGTGAGTGCGAGTGTGAGTGAGAGTGAGAGTGGGAGTGTGAGGGAGTGTGAGTGTGAGTGAAACTGGGAGAGTGAGAGTGGGAGAGTGAGAGGGTGAGCATCTGAGAGCACAAAGTACAGGCCCCTCCCACGAAATCTGCACTTTGAGGTTCACCAAGCGCTGTGCCTGCCAACGAAATCTGCACTTCGAGGTTCACCATGCGCTGTGCCTGCCACGAAATCTGCACTTCGAGGTTCACCATGCGCTGTGCCTGCCACGAAATCTGCACTTCGAGGTTCACAAAGTGCCCTGCCTGCCACGAAATCTGCAGTTTGAGGTTCACCAAGCGCTGTGCCTGCCATGAAATCTGCACTTCGAGGCTCACCAAGTGCTGCACCTGCCGCGAAATCTGCACATCGATGGTCGCTGTGCCTGCACTTCGAGGTTCACCAAAGCGCTGCACCTGCCACGAACTCTGCACTTCGAGGTTCACCAAGTGCTGCACCTGCCACGAAATCTGCACTTCGAGGTTCACCAAGCGCTGCGCCTGCCATGAAATCTGCACTTCGAGGTTCACCAAGCGCTGTGCCTGCCACGAAATCTGTACTGCGAGGTTCACCAAGTGCTGCGCCTGCCACGAAATCTGCAAACGAGCCACATGTCCAAAAGTCACAGTTCACTGCACCTGTCACGAATTCTGAGCTCCTCGACGATCACCACCATGCCCAAAGTGCTGCACCTGCCACGAACACTGCACTTCGAAGTAAAACAGCTCCGATACCTTGCACCTGTCACGAAAAGTCGACTTTGGAGCACCAAAACACGAGGTTTCCCTTGCGCCTGCCGCGAAAAGTCACCACCATGTACGAAAATGTGCACGGCACCACAACGAGAGGGCAGTCGTTAGAAGCACCCCCCGCGGCCACCCAGACTTTGCGAGCCTGCACAGTCGAAGTGCACATTGACAATGTCGAGAACCATGAATGTACTTTTAAATAAATAGCAGCGAATTAGCCGTTCACGGCCGCGCGCTGCAGAACCGTAAGAACCCTCAGTGTGCCCACACTGTTTGGGTTAAAAGAACGAAGGTGTGATAGGAGGAAGTGAGATTGTTCAGTCGTGAAGGCACATATGTGAAACAAAGAAAACAAATGAACATAATAGGCCAAAAAAGCTACTATGTCAAGGGTGTTTGTTATCTTTGTCTTGTGAAACTCCCTTGATAAACATCTAAAATGTGAAGGGAATTGCATTGGTCCCATGTTCGCTGTTAATAGATTACGATCACATCTTCTTATACATAGTTCTCTATCTGTGTGTGGTGTTTTTAACTTATAGTTTTGTTGATATCTATTTATACAGTAATAGTGTGCAGGGTAAAACAACCATAGACTATATATTTAAAAAATTAAATAAAAACAAAAAAAGTAGGACCGCACCACACATGTCATTTGCAAGCTGAGACATGTTTACTTGAGCGGCTGATTTTGTTTGTAACTGTTTTACTTAACCGCTCTTTCTCTCAAAGGGACCCTATCTGTTATCAATGTCTCCAGTCTAGTGGCTAGCAACCGTCTTTCTCTGGCGGTGGTGTCTGCTGGGCAATCACATTGTAGTCAAGATCAACAAGTCCCTTACAGATTCTGCTGGTTCTGCTTCTCTACCTCGTTTCAATATGTGTCAGTCTCACTTGCTATCTGGTTCATGCCCCGTGAACTTTCCGCGCTCGAAGCGTACCGCGGCTAAAGTATCTCCCTTCCACAGGCCTACCTCGTTTCTAAAGTAATCTTTGATGTTGCACAAGAGCTTTCGTTTGCATTTCCCTTAAAGACCAAGACTGTGTTGGGCCCGCTGCACTGGAGCTTGATGGTGCCCAAGAGCTCTCGTCTCCTCCGACGATGACCTCGCACAAGCTCCGGAAGAACATCCACTCATAATGTCATACAATGTGAGTATGCTCAATATTGCTCAATGCAAACTCTCCAACATCGCAACGGCTTTCTAGAACTCTTGAAATATACGCAACCGAGGCCAACTTTGGCAAGACTAGGGGCTTTGCATGATGTTGCTAGGTCCCAAGCATGATGGGAGCTTGAGGGTGCCCAAGAGCTTGAATCTCCGCCAACAATGGCCTAGTTGAAAGAACTGATCTTGTCAGGACACCATGGAGAATGTGCCTCAAAGGACAACTGGACTATATATAGAATTGCTATAGAAGCATGAAGGTGTGATAGAGGAAATCCATTATGTTCAGTCGTGGAGGCACATATTTTAAAGAGAGAACACGATTGAAAATGATAGGCCAAAATACTACTATGTCAAGGGTGTGTGTTATCTCTCTTATGAAACTCCCTTGATAAACATCTAAAATGTGAAGGGAATTTCATTGGTCCCATTTTTGCTGTTGATAAATTGCAATCACGTCTTCTTCTAAATATGTCTATATGTTTTTATAGTGATTTTCTACCTTATAGTTCTTTTGGTACAGTATCTAGTTATACTATTGTGCTGGGTAAAACAACGGTATATAAATTAAAGAGATGAAAGATTGAAAAAAAAAGTTGGACCGCACCACACAAAAATATCCCAAATCGCCACAGTGCATGATGTGATTTACAAGCTGCGACATGCTTGCTTGAGCGGCTGATTTTGTTTGTGACTCTATTAAGCGCTTTTTCTCCCAAAGGGGCCCTAGACCCAATCTGTTATCAATATCTCCAGCAGATCTAGTCAATAGGAACCTTCGGTTTTTGTGCGGTGGTGTCTGCTGGGCAACCACTTTGTAGTCAAGATCAACAAGTCCCTTATAGATTCTGCTGGTTCTGCTTCTCTACCTCGTTTCAATATGTGTCAGTCTCACTTGCTATCTGGTTCATGCCCCGTGAACTTTCCGCGCTCGAAGTGTACCGTGGCTAAAGTATCTCCCTTCCACAGGCCTACCTCGTTTCTAAAGTAATCTTTGATGTTGCACAAGAGCTTTCGTTTGCATTTCCCTTAAAGACCAAGACTGTGTTGGGCCCGCTGCACTGGAGCTTGATGGTGCCCAAGAGCTCTCGTCTCCTCCGACGATGACCTCGCACAAGCTCCGGAAGAACATCCACTCATCTACTCTCTGCACACTTTGTTCGTGCAAGTTGACGCCCATAAAATGTCAACTGAACTCCAAAACCTTTGCCACATGCCCACTACTTCTAGCCTTCTAGCTAGTCACATGCGTTCTACTTCTCAACTCTCCATGCCTTTTCACTTCTCTGCAGACTGATGGTGAAGTTCCTGCAACCCGCTGCACTGGTCTGCCCAGGCCCGCTGCACTGCTAGAGCTTGATGGTGCCCAAGAGCTCTCGTCTCCTCCGACAATGACCTCGAGCGGACCCAACCCGGCAGGAGATCCATGCAAATGTGTCGGTGCTTATAGCAAACCAAGGTTATCATGCTTCATGTTGCCATGTTTCGGAAAAAGGGTGCTACAGGTGCTTAAAGCGTCTCAACTACATGCTACAAGTCTCAAATCTGGTCAACTCAGCTGCTCTTGCCATAAATCCCAGCATGGCTTCGCATGGCGTAGCTAGGTCCCGAGCATGGTGGGAGCTTGAGGGTGTCCAAGAGCTGGAATCTCCGCCAGGAAGGCCCTAGCTCATGAGAACTTGTGAGTGCTGACATGTGCGATGCGGCCCAAAGAAAGCTTGGCTTCGCACTGGTGGTCTGTTCATTCCGAAAGGCATGCTAGAGTCTTGAGAAAATTCCCAAAGAAACGGTTTAACACTCGTCCTCTGAACTCAAGGCTCGGCGAGGTCTGCATGAGATACACTCGTATGATCTCGTAATATCTCGTATGTGCCTCTCATGTGTTGAAAACACATCTGGGTGTGAAGAGGAATACTGTATTTCTGGATGGCTTCCTTTTGCGGAAATCCACTTTTGCGGAAGAGGCACGCAACTCTTCGGTCTTTTGTCAAAAACGTCCGGATCCGAGGCTCAAGGACGTAGACGTGGGGAAGCTCTTCTGCATGGACATGGGGAATTCCAAAGGACCAGAAATGCCAATCAGCCAACCGAGTTTTGGAGCTGGTGATGGTTTGGAATCGTGACGTTTAACCCGACTTGGACGTCCAGGCAGATCCAGAGGAGTAGCTGGATCCATAAGAATGGCCGTAGCCCTGGGCAAGACCGGCAATGAGGAAGCCCCAAATCAAAAGTAGGGATGCAACTTGAGCTGTAGTAAGGTCCAGACAGATCCAAAGGAGCCAGAGTGGTGGTAGCTTCGATAGGAGCCAGAATGACCGTAGCCCTGCATGACATAGGAACAAGCAACTTGATGCACATTCAAGGTCATTGCAACCCTTGGTGAAATCAGCTCCAGGCAGATCCAAAGGAGCCAGAATGGTGCCAGCTGCCCTGAGTGGGGACAAAATCTGCCAATAGCCCATTAACGCTTTCCTCTTTTGTGGCCAAGCTGAAGAGAAAATCACTGCAAATAAAGTTCCAGGCAGATCCATACGAGCCAGAATGGCCATAGCCCTGACACCATCGGGGTCCGAAATGTCATAACACATGAATTGCCAATCTCTGTGTATGTGTGTGTTACTTGAGCTCCAGACAGATCCAAAAGAGCCAGAATGGTGCCAGCTGCCCTGTATACGGCACCGCTGACAAAAATGTGAAACAGCTCCAACACAACTCAACCAAGAAGAGGACAACATGGGGACTCACTTGGCACAATCCCAAGATGTATCATGTGATGTTGTCCGCAACTGCGATACATAGGGCTAAAATGGCGCTCTCGTATCACAACGTTCACTCGTTGGGGGAACCGTCAACCATCTGGTTGACGGTTGACCCCAACGTAAGAAGACGTCCAAAAAACACACCCAACCGAGGTCGAAGAAAGCCTGAGGGTTTTCTCCCAGACCGCTAAAGCGGGTTTTTGCGCTGAGGTCTCAGCAGATCCGCCGAAGCTTCCAGAGCCGCTGGAGCCCTTCACAGATTCAGATTCTGCGAGACCACTATCAAAGAAAAAGTCTGAGAGGAAAAAAGAAGGTGGACTTGGGCCCCTCTTTAAAAAGGTGACCATATTTCAAACATATTAAAATTCCTGCTTTCCCTTTGGAACTAGTCCTGTGCTGAGAAAGGGTGAATTGTGATGTCGCTTTCTGCTGAGGGCCCCTGCCGATCCGCCGAAGCTTCCAGAGCCGCCCTGAATCACAGGGACCATCCGTCGTTGGAATCGAAAAGACATCATCTTTTGGAGTGACAACGGTGCCACGAACTGCCGCGGGCGAGAACTAGATATACAACTAATCTGAATTTATCTGAGCTCAAGGCAGATCCCGAAGAAGCCTCAAATGAATCGCCCTTCTCTTGGCTTTCAAGCTCGGAGGGGACCCCACTCAACTGATGCAGAGATCTTCGATGTTCTAAGTGTCCAGCTTCACCACCAATGCCTTGGAACAGCTACACTTCAAACCAGATGGGAGGAAAACAAGATGCAAAGTTTGACTCCTTTACTCCAAACCAAAGTGTTTGTCTCAATGTGTCTCCCAAACAGAAACAAGTTTGACTGACATATTGCCTTCTCCACCTAACTGTGCATCCAAGATACTGCACTGGTCCTGGCAGCCAGCAATACGGCAACAATATATACTGTAGCTTCTTCTTCCTAGTTTGAAAAAAAGAACTCCACCCTTCATTTGGCCTCCAACCTATATAAAGACCAATGGCATGTCTTTCTGGCATGTCTTGGAACCCGTGCGCAACCGTGCGAAAACACCTTCGATCCCCTCCCCGCCTGGCAATCGGCTTCAGGGAACGGCCCATCGGAGGCAGGGCGGCAAGCACCACCCGAGCTGAAGGCAGGGAACAGGCACGAACGAAGTGAAGGAAGCTGTGGGCCCTTGTGGAAGACGTTCCGAAGGATGTGAGACGTAGAAAAACAAAAAGCACTTCCAGATGTGAGTCTGTAGGGGGGAGTATATAGAATCTCAGAGGCGCAAAATGGGGACTCTCGCAACATAGGGGACTCTTTTTTGCCGGTATGTTCCATGTATGTTCAAACCATGGCTTCGCATGACCACTTCGCCGTGAACATGGCGCATGATGGCACCAACTCTGTCACTCCCACCTCTGATAGGCAGCTTCCGATGCTTGGCGAGTCAACTTGTGCAGACCTCTACAGCAAGTACCACGAACGGAACGACGGCATGAACGAACTGCTTCAAAAGAACACCGCAGGGAGTTGTAGTCAAAAACAAAAAACAACATGATCTGAAAGGAGATGGAAGCAACATTTATAAGGTAGCAGCATCTCTTGCACCAAGAGGCAGTGGTAACCCATGATCTGTGAAGGATCCTTCCAAGATTCAGGGCCTCAGCTGAGATTCTCAGCTGGTCCAATATGTTGAACAAAGCTGCCAAAGTCTATCATGCCAAGCAACACTGGTGCATCGTTCCAGCTGCGCAAGCTGAGATAGAGGCCCTAGGAGTTCATGTGTTCGGGTCCTTTTGACAAGACTTGCTCTGGGCAAGTCCTTTGATGAATAGTAGATCGAAGATATCAAAGGCATGCACGCAGAACACAACAGCCTTGTGTGATAGAGGAGGAGGAGGTTCTGGATAGGGTGGGATGCATGTTTGTACAAGCAGAATCGTATCAAAAACTGCCTGTTTGTACAAACAGAATATTATCAAAAATGAGACTTGTGGAAAGGAGAATAGCATTCTATCCTAGGATAGTTTTGGATAAGGCAGAATGCCTGCATGTAGGCGTAGGTTCCACGAAGGATGGCATGCTTCCACAAACGTGAAGGCACTTTCAAAAGAGATGCCTTTTTAACATCCAATACAATTCTCAAACGTGCTTCTTTTAGGCTGGATCTGAGATATCTAGATCTGAATAAGGACCATTGTAAGACTTTGCACATGTAACTGATCAAGCGCAACATTTTAACAAATGATAAAGCACTGCCGCAACCTCCCAAACTCTTTTTGTCGAGAGTCGAGATCTATACATCCCCTCTTAGAAAAGGATCGTCAACCGTGACATCCTCGACTTGTGCTCCGACTCTCCTGTTCGACTCCTGGCGATCTCAGCGTCCCACGGCGAAGAGCTCCTGGCGACGGCGGCACCGCGCTCCGCGCTCGGCGCTCCGCGCTCGGCGCCGGGGGAACCCGCGGCGCCTTGGCGCCGAGGACATTGCCAGACGACACCGGGGAGGCAAACCTGACGAGTTCCGAGGCGCAGGGCCGACGCTGTGTTCACTGACCTAAGCTGACACCATCCAAGCCCAAGCAGCTTCAAAAGGACAATGGCTGCCACGGTCGCACAAACCAACCTCAGTGTCCCACTTCGCCCGAACGCGACGCGTCTCGGCAGATGAACCAACGAACTGTTGGAGGTACCGAGACTGGTACCGTCACGGTCCCCTCTCGGTACGTCGTCGCGATGGCCCGTCCACCTCTCTCGGTGTGAAAACCTCGACTTCCTCGAGACTCCGCAGGGCGTCCTCTTGAGTCGCGTGAACCAGCCCCGGCCGGCGTGGAGTCCGACGCGACAAGCGTCGCGTCGCGATCGCGATCGCGCGAGGTCGAGGACGGAGGAGAAACGGAGCAAATCAGAATGCAAGAGTTGGACAACAAAAACAAAGAACTTAAAGAAGAAGGCATATCGCGGCATATCGTGTTCCAGGCCACCAGACGTCCAAAAGCGAAGGCATGCAACCGCAAGAAATGGTGAGCCAATTCGAGCCCCCTCCCATGTCCACCCTTGTGCAGCTCGTCTGTTCCATGCTTTAGCATGCTTCAGCCAAGATGCCCAGCAGAGACGCCCCGCACCAGCCAACTCACAGAGCCTCGGAGCTTTGGAATCCAAGTAGTCCAAGGGATAGAAACACAGCTGAAATGGACTACTTTTTGGTGTGAAATGAAAGAAGCAAATCGCCTCGATGCTGGGTATGGGAGAAGTTTCTGGCCCATCACAATCTCTTCGTTATCATATCTTAGGTTGCTTCATGGTCTGGATAGCTCAAATCCAATCTTGTGCAGCCTGAAGAAATCCATGCTTGATCTTCGTCGATGAAGCATCTTCCAGTTTGATGGGTAATGACCAGTCAGCAAAGCCCTTTTGGCAAGAAGAATTCTGACTGGATTCAAGGCTCGAGATGTGGACTGACAGGCGAGTTGCTTCGAGCAGTTCTGGGATTTCGTCAACACATTCGAGCCATCGACTCTGGTGTCGATGTCCTCCCTCTGTTGAACAGACCTGCTTACTGTCAAGCAACTGTTCGTCTTCGCTTGCGGCACTTCCGTCTGTGCCTCCTGTGCAAAGCCAAATCAACTTGGTGAGAGACCTCACCAATTCACCAATAACATTTAATAGCTCTTTGCTTCCCATCAAAGGGCAGTGGTAGTCACCAGGAGGCTGCCTACAAATGGGGCCTTCTCAGTTGGAGACTGCTGTCAGCATAATGTACGACCACTCCAATTCTCCTCATCCTGCAAGTTCAGAGCTTCGTAGCTCATCGTCACTTCGGGTGCCTCACTGAAGGAAGGCGAGCAAGGGGGAGTGCGCGGTTGCAGACCCCCGCAAAGCTGTGCCGACAATTCCGATGCAACAAAAACAAATTTGAAGGACATG